ATTATTATTAACACTGGGATTATTATTATTATTAACTACAGGTGGCTGATTATTAGCTGAAGAGTTACGATTATTAGATAGATCAGGACAATTTCGACTATAATGTCCAGTACGGCCACAAGTGAAACACGTTATAGTAGATGGGGTAAAATTTTCAGACCGAGATCTAGATAGTGGCCTTCGCTGATCTTGAAGTTGAGTTATAAGCTTATCGATTGAATTTGTTAAAGTTTTTAAAGCTCAGCCATTTCATTTGAACTAGTGAGGTTAAGGTTTGGGGTTTCAGAGAAACTATAAGGAGAATAAAATACTGTTGGAGTTGTATAAGCAGTTTGAACAGAATTCTGTTTATAAGCATTCTCAAACACCTTTGCTCTGGTATATGCTTCTTCTAACAAATTAGGGTTAAAGGTGATATAGCTATAAACAATTTAGAATGAAGTCTATTAATAAACATTTGTGCTTTAGCCGTATTAGGGTACTAATGCATGCCTAACTCTACTCGTCGAAGCAATTCTTCAATTGCTGTGGTATTCATCTATGCTTTCAGCTAGCAACTGTTTCTTTTGGGTTAACTGCACAAACCATTTCCTTTCAACTCAGGGTCCTGAATTTGTTTATAAAATGAGTAGTGAAACTCTGTTGAGGTACCAGAGGGTCACGCCATCGATCGATTATGGGGTGCTGATTTCTTCTCATAACCCACCAAGTCGCATCAGGGCCTTTAAGCATTGGAACGATTACAGAAATCTTCTAAAATAGTGATATAAGATTGGCTTCGAAGGCTTTATCAACATCTTCAAGCCAAGTTATAGGATCTTGATCTCCTCCATGAAATTCAGGGTAAGGTATAGTATTAAGTTCCCGAGGATTAGCAGGAATATTAACTTGCAGTGGTGGTGTAGTCTGCATTTGCTGAACCAAAGCGGCAATTTGGTTAGCTAAATTATGTAGAAGATTATTCAGATTCAATTGGGCTGGCTGTTGGGGTTGTTGGTTAATAGACATTTCAAATCTAAATCTATATTTTCTTTAACGTGAATATCTTTTTCAATCTACACAATCGGCACCAAATGTTACTATTGTTTGGGAGAGCTTATAGAACTATCAGCACAATTTAACTCCAATAGTTAATTTTATATATTCTTTGTGAGAACTCAAAGTAATATAATAATAAATAAAGTCGATTATAATAATAACTTAAGCACGTGAGTTTACATAATTAATCTGAGATTAGGCACTTAATTATATCTACCAGTAATCAATCAAGTAAATAAATCAAGTTATATAATTGTAATTAAATAAATCAGTAATATCAATAGCTAATCAATACAACCGATAATAAGGGTCAATATTTATAAGGTAATAAAGTAATAGGGTAATAATAAAATGTATAATATGATCGTGAAGAGCCTTCACAGTTAAGATAAAAGAAATAAAATATAAAATAAATACAACAATACTATGGTAACTCATATAATATCAATTCGAGAAATCAATTCTTAATACTTCTATATTAAAGACAATAAAATCTAAACTTTATTTGAAGAGCGAAAAGGCAGCTCTTTTATACTTTCGAATTATATAGAATACTTACTACAAAGTACACTACTGAAGTCTAGCTCTATACTTTGTTATTAACATTATCTTTTCATTCAACCTTAGCCCGTCCAGACCTATACCTTCTAAGCCAATTTTACCATTACATTCCTAAGCTTTTCCAGACCTAAACCCTGGGCCTCACAATAACAAACAAATATGAAGAATCTATAGATAAAGAATTAAACAAAAATGATGAATAATTATTTGTACAGATCTGAACTTCTAAGCCTTCGCCACAATCCAGCCTTACAGTATACACATTTTCATTACTACAAGTCATGATTTTTTTTCTAAAAAAAAAAACTGTGACAACATGTACTGTTAACGTTAATAGTCTTTAGTTTATAATATTTATAATTACAAGAAGAAATCATATTTAACTAATACAGAAACTACAACAATCAATAATAACATAGAATTATAAAAAATGATTTTTCTTGTTTACACTCTATTCCAATTTGTTTTTTTTTAACTTAATTTGCTTATTTTCAATTTTGATTTTATCATTGTTAATTTTATGTATGGACTTCTCTTGACATTTGAGATTCTCAATTATCTCATCTACTTTTTCTTTCTGACACAGATCATATATGTTCATCAATAGTAAATGGTATTCAGATGATTTAGCTCTTCCTATAGCACTACTTGAATAACCATCCTTTGCTGATGTAACATAAATTCTGATTGTTGTTTGCTTATCGAATCTTGATACAACACTTTCAAAATCTCGGATATAATCAACTTCAACTTTGTTAGTAAGATCTTTGTATTGAAACATAATAAGTAATGATTATGATTGCCAAACATATCATGCCACCATCACTTCTTGATAACCTATAAAAAAAATAACTGTAAGTAATTGTTATTATCATCATCAAAGAACATGCACTGAAGCCAATATAGTCATTTATCCATGTATCCTATTCACTATTCAGATAACAGATAAAACAGAGAAGGATGTTCACAAGCAATTATTACTTGGCTTTTATAATATCCCCTGTGGCCACGATGCGCTTCCAGTTCTCTGCCTATCATATCATTCTAGTAGCAGCGTAGCTTTAGATGCATAACGACTAAATGATCACTTAGTGATATAATTATCTCACCTCACCCTTTGGCAGTTAATCTTTATTTTATTTTTAACCCCTTTAAAACAAGAAGTAATAGAAGAGTTATTGGTATACTTCATTACTGGTAAGAAAATTTCAAAATGTTCAAATTTTTTGCACCCAATATATCTTATATTTATTTCCGAAATTAGTTTTCTATCTCATAAAAAGAAAACAAACACACACTTTTATTTACATTTAATTCAGAAGTAAGAAAACTCATATAGATCTACAAATAGAGGTGAGAATTTTATTTAAGGGTAGAGAGTAGAGTAGAGGGTATGTAGATCATTTTATCATATGATTTTTTTTATCATATGATTTTAGTGATACAACATAATTTTATATAGAAAATAAAAATATTTTACTAATAAAACTTTTTACTATTGTAATTAATTTTTATCAAAATTATACAGTATATAGACTAAAATACGTTCTTTATAATAATAAAATTTTTAATAGATAAAGATTTAAAAAAATATATACTTGTATACAGTCAGACCTCTTTATAGTCACCTCATCTATAGTCACATTTGCTTATAATCACATAAATTTTTAAAACCAACTTATATAATACTTATAAAATTTAACCTCTATATAAGCACAAACTCTATAAGCACCAAATTCTTAAAACCAAGGGTGTGATTATAGAGAGGTTTGACTGTATATTGTAATGTTTGCCGGGGTCAGTGTTATTTTTTTATTTTTTTTTTTTTTAATATTCAAGGTAAAGCCATGCTTCTAACTTTATTGAAATTTATTTGAACTTTTTTACAGAAAGAAATTACATAAACTCCTTTACAGAAAGAAATTACATATAAACTCCATATCCAAAAGATAGCAAGAATAGAAGCTCAGACTAATTTATCTGTGACCTAAACCTACCAGAGTGGCCATGGTTCACCTAGAACGA